GAACCAAGCAGGGAGCTCTGCACCAGCCGTGAAAGCGGGGCCGACTCGGGCAGGATGAGATCACGGCGTCCCACACCAGCACCCAACTTTAGGCTAAATATACACTTAAAGAGCCCGTTCTTCCGCCCCTACAAGGAAATTCCCCAGGGCTTTTTTGTTTGTTTGTTTTCTAGGGGGAGGGCAGGGGGATTTAAGTTATTCCTGAATTTTATAAGGCTGTGACTTTCTGTGGGCTCCTGCAGCAGAGGAGATGAGCTGGACTCGGCTCCACACCCCAACACCGACCCAAGACCCCCGGAGCGACCATCGGGGCAGAACAGCAGCCTCGCACAAAACCACGCTTTGCCCTTAGTGCCGCACACGGCGTCCCCCTTCTCCCCACGCGTCTCCCTCCTTCGCCGCTCACAGACACCTCCTCTGTTTCTTTTCAGGCAATCAGCCGCCCGAGAGTTAATTAGATCAGAAACTACCCAAAATGAGTTTCAGTGTCTTCTGGCAATCGGCAAAGACTTAATACTTCCTTCCCAGGGCTAGCACAAGCGCCGGCCTGCTTGCCAACTCGGTTTGGCATCAGTCACCCCCAGCCCCAGCCCTGCCAGCACCCTGAACCCCACAGAATCCAGACGGCGCACGGAGCCAGCTGCGTGCAGCAGGGTGACATCGTTTCGCCTTCGATTTCCTCCGCCAAGCTACGGAAAAAAAATGAGACAAAAAAAAAACCCAAAACCCAAAACAAAACAACAACTCACCGGCAGTGTTTGCTATGGCCAACGGCAACCCTTGCAGCTGATGCACCTGGATCCCAGACGCTCCCAAGGCACTGAGGTTAATAGTCTGGAGGCCTGGCACGGAGGAGAGCTGGGCAGCGTTGACCGTAACAGTGCCGCTGGGGAGGGAGGCGATGGGGGTGAGCGTGGTGCTGGTGCTGCCCGTCTGCCCCAGCGATACTCCCTGCATGGGGGCCAAGGTGATTGTCTGGGCCTGGGGGTTTTGAACTTGAAGGTTTTGGAGCTGGATGGTCTGCCAGCTCACCTGCCCGTTGGGACCCACCGTGGGCGTTCGGATAATGATGGGCCCTGAATTGGGGACAGCTTGGAGCTGCAGGTTCTGCAAGGCGTCTTGGGAGATGGCTTGAGTGGCAAAGGTCTGGCCAGAGAGCGGGGTGGTCTGGAGGGCTTGGATGGTCTGCCCTCCTTGGACTAGCTGCGGCTGGATCAGGATCTGCTGCTGCTGCTGCTGCGATTGCTGACTCTGATCCCCCTCTTTCTGCTGTCCCGGCTGCAAAGCCACCCCAGAAACTTGGCTCTGCAGAGAGTCCGAGCTCTGGACGCTGCTGACCCTCTGGGGCGTCTGCGCCTGGACGTTGGTTCCCACCGTGGCACTGGTGGAAAAATTCATGATGCCCATGTTACTGGTGGTGGTGGTGGTGGAATAGCTGTTGGCATTGGTAAAAAAAGCGCCAGAACTAGCGTGAGACGTGGCTGTATTGGTGGAACTGATGGCAGCACCCGAGGTGGCCGGCTGAGAGCTGCTGTCCGGAGAGCCGGAGCTGCTCAACGTGACCGTCTGAGAGGTGGGAGCCAGGCTGGCGCCCACGCGGTGGACGGGCAGCAAGGTGATGTTGCCGTTCAGAGCCACGGGGACGTTGGCCACGTACTGGGTTTGCCCTGAGAGGGTGTTGTTGGTTAAGCCCACGCCCTGGATGGGGACGGCCTGCTGCAGCAGGTTTGGCATGGCGATGAGGTTACTCGTCCCCGCTCGGCTCGTTATGATCTGCTGGTTCGTGCCGGGGATGATCTGGAGCTGACCAGAGGCATCCTGCTGCACGTTGACTTGGGCAGGGGTGGTGGCAAACTGGAGCTGTTGCCCATCGATGGTTTGGAACTGGGGAATGACCTGGTACT